TCGGCTCTCCGCCCAAGTCAATTACCTGGTAAAGACAGAGCATTCCTTTTACTAAAAAAGGCATTGCCCCAGCATTATTTGAAGGAAGAAGCACTGCTTGAGCTAAGTATATTGTATGGCTTAGTTGCAAAATTGTATTTAAAGCTATTTTCTTCATTCGATCTCAACCTAGCTGTGAACTTGTTTTCCATCTCCATCCTAAATCTCCTTACTCTGACTGATCACTACTGCAAAATTACAGCTTGGGCCATACCAACTTTGTATTTAGTCTAGTCAACAATGCTTCTGCTTCCAGTACCCAGGCAACCTCATTTCACTATGTAGCTAAAGAACGTTTCACTATTTACCCTTAAACTTTCAAGGAACATAACTGCTTTAATAAAATGGGTCTAGCAACTTCAGCTTCTGCTGACTGAAACCTGCTTCTTAGATCTTGTTAGGATCTGTTATTCAAAAGTAAAACACAAATTCAGAATGTCAAGTAATAGTGGTTATCCCACTGGAAAACAATGTTTCAGACTGTAATCACCATTTATATCTTCTGTTGCAAATTATTATCCAGAATTTAAAATTCAGGAAGTGAAATTTCTTTTTAAACCAATAGAATTTTGACACTAATTTCAATGCAGTACATTTAATCTCAAGTGAAATTTCCAGGTTACCTAGTTCCAGAAGGTCAAAAACAACCGGGGCATTTTGCATGTCAGTTACCATTTGTGGACAGGTTAGATATTTGTAAATTATGGTTATTAAATCTTGATGATGATTTCTATAGATCTGGAGTCTGAAAGCTGCTCGGGCCCAGATCAAACAAAGCATCACTTTCACTGTGGGACTAAGTCTATACTGTGCCTGCAAGAAATATGTTTGTAAAGTACATTTTAAAAAAATAAAGATTACCTCCTGGTAAATGAAAGGTTTAGTTCCTGCAGAAAACCATTTAGTATTTAGATCTTTCAGCTTATCTAAAATTGCCTTCACATCCCCAGGCCACATATGCTTGGCAGCATCAATTCGGAAGCCTGCTACGCCAACATCAATGAGGTAGTTCATATACTCGGCAACTTTTGAGCGTACATAGTCCTTTTCCAGGGCCAGATCAAGAAGGCTAACCAAGCGGCAGTCTCGTACCTATAAAAAAAATCTGAAATGAAACATTTTTTACCTAATAAACCAAATGTAGTGTTCTACACACATTTTGAATTTTGTTACCTACATTACAATGCCAAATAAAACCTTTACTCGCCATTGCTTATCATGCATATCTTTGCCTTGGACAGTTATCTTGGACAGTCATCTACACAGAAGGAGTATTAAGAAGTCTGCACTGACCAAGCTTACACAGCTGTAGGTGCTAAAGGACTATAACAGAAAGTCAAACCATTAAATATATAATCAGCATTTTAATGCAAGTATAGGGCAAAAATATGATAAATTAATTTTACTCCAGTGTATTAAGGAACAGATTCATTACTATTTCAAATGCACTAGTTTCTTCTCTGATGTAGGAAAGATTTCTAGAAATTATATTTCTAAATCTTTTAAAAATCTTGAGTTATTATAGTATTATGAAACACTAAACTCTTGTTTTTGTTCTGTTTTTGCCTTTGTTTCCTGTAAATACAAAATGATGGGCATCAATTTTCAGCAAAATAATACTTTAAATATACACTGAATATACTGAAAAGCTTTTTCTAATAACTCTTACAATGGGTTTCCATGGTTAATAGGTACATCTGCCTGGAGAGCGCAAGGTGCATCAGTCTATGCTGAAAAATGTACTAAACAATTTGCTATAAAGATGCTCCTTTAGAACTGCTCAAGAGTTCAGGGATATTTAAAGTTTCCCCTTCTTCTGTCATTTCTCCAAAACCCCTCTCTCCTCAAGTTAGATTCAGGAAAGATCAAATGCATTTGAAAGGCATAAGATGTTATTCAAGAAAGAAAGGTATTTATCTTTATAAAATAATTTTTCATTTTGTAGTAGTTTTAAAGTCCTGACCTTGTAATCTGATGTAGAGGAACATACAGACTCCTAGGAAGAGAAATCTCTACACAGAAGATTGATTTTCAAGATTTTAGCATTACTACTTTTCTTTATGAAATCCTAATCTCTCTTCTGAAATTGAGACCAAAGAAAACATAAATTACAATAAAAGGCAAATAATTACTCTTACTCTTTTTTTAAACACAAACAAAATAATACCTAAGTAAGATTTTATGAGCTTTAAAACTGTCTTTATTAAGTACCTAAGCATGTTTGTCTAAATCTGAAATCAAGCCATTGGTTCAAGCAGAACTACTCCTTTTAAGAAGTGGTGTTCCTGATAGCAACGCTAACCTCCATTATCAATTTGGATGGTTTCCCCTGAGGGTTTTTGTTTTGCTTTTAAAAAATGTCTGACAGCAAAGGGAAGCAAAGAAACCTCAGCCCAGGAACAGATGTACATGAAAAATATATTAATAGTTCTAGGTTTACCTGAGATATATCCTGATAATTCTCAATGTCTCCACTTCTAGATTTACATTTGCCATCATTAAAGTCCCAACCAGAATACGGCACAGCTGGAAAATCTTCAGTCTTTGCATTGAAATAGCTTCCACAAGTAGCATGGTCACCAGCACCCGCATTAGCTCCGCACATATGATTGATTACTGCATCTACATAAATATGTACCTAGAGAATAGTATTTACATTTCAGTTTGAGAAAACTACTTCCCACAGCACCACTAATTAACATTCTCTCTCTTACCGCCTGTCCTATCCCCCTGTTTCTGCTCGCTTGCTTCCCCCAACTTTTTATTTAAAATATTTCTCTTTTATTAACATATAGCAATGGTGATACAACATGCATCTCAACAGACAGGCAGACAACATTGCATGCATTTTTAAGAAGGGTAGAAAGGAGGACCCTGGGAACCACCAACCTGTCAGCCTCACCTCTGTGCCTAAGAAGATCATGGAACAGATCCTCCTAGAAGCTACGCTAAAGTACACAAAGGACAGGGAGGTGATTTAACACAGTGAGCATGTTTTCACCAAGGGCAAATCCTGCCTGACCAACCTGGTGGCTGTCTATCTATGATGGAACGTTTACATCAGTGGACAAGGGAAGAGCTACAGATGTCATCTGTCTGGACTTCTGGAAGGTTTTTGAAACAGTCCCCCACAACATCCTTCTCTCTAAATTTGAGAGATATGGATTGGATGGGTGGACTGGTCAGTGGATGAGGAACTGGTTGGATGGCTGCATCAAGAGAGTGGTGGTCAACGACTCAATGTCCAGATAGAGATAGGAGACAAGAGGTGGCCCTCAGGGGCCCATACCGAGACCAGTACTGTTTAGTATCTTCATCAGTGACATAGACAGTGGGATCGAGTGCACCCTGAGCAAACTTGCAGACAACACAACACCAAGTTGAGTGGTGCAGTTTACATACCTGAGGGACAGGATGCCATCCTGAGGGACTTGGACAAACTCAAGAAGTGGGCCCATGGGAAACTCATGAGGTTCAACAAAGCCAATTGCAAGGTCCTGCACCTGGGTCTGGGCAATCCCCAGTACCAATACAGGCCAGGGGATTAAGGGGTTGAGAGCTGCCCTGTAAAGAAGGACTTGAGGGTACCGGTGGATGAAAAGCTGGACATGAGTTGGCAATGTGTGCTTGCAGCCCAGAAGGCCAAATATAGCCTGGGCTGCATCAAAAGAAGCGTGGACAGAATGTTGAGGGAAGTGATTCTGCTCCTCTATTCCACTCTGGTGAGACCCCACCTCGAGTACTGTGTCCAGCTCTGGAGCCCTCAGCATAGGAAAGATATGGACCTGCTCGAGTGGGTCCAGAGGAGGGCCACAAAAATGATCAGAGGGCTGGAACACCTCTCCTATGAAGAAAGGCTGAGACAGTTGGGGCTGTTGAGCCTGGAGAAGTGAAGGCACTGGGGAGACCTTATTGTGGCCTTTCAATACTTGAAGGGGGCCTATAAGAAAGATGGGGACAAATTTTTAGCAGGGTCTGTAGCGACAGGACAACAGGTACTGGTTTTAAACTAAAAGAGGGGAGATTCAGACTAGATATAAGGAAGAATTTTTTTACAATGAGGGTGGTAAAACACTGGAACAGGTTGCTCAGAGAGGTGGTAGATGCCCCATCCCTGGGGGCTGGACCAGGTTCAGGTCAGGTCAGGTTGGACCAGGCTCTGAGCAACCTGGCTGAGTTGAAGATGTCCCTGATCACTGCAGGGGGTTGGACTAAATGACCTTTAAATGTCCCCTCCAATCCAAACTATTCTATGATTCTATGAAAAAAAAAAAACAAAAAAAACCAAACCATTGGCACTCCAGTTCTACTATGTCTTCCCTTCTAAATTACCAGTTGCACTGTTAACACGGGAAGGTTTTCAAAGCACTTACTCCAACATTGTTGCACCTGGTCACCATGTCTCTAAATTCAGTTTCATTTCCAGATCTTGTGCACAGCTTGTAGCTAATGGGCTGGTATCTTTCCCACCATGGTTGCCAGGGGTCAGTAATGATAACATTTTCATTTGGAGGTGAAATCTGTGAAGAAGATGGTATCTATTGGTAACAGGATACTTATAATGGTTTATTTGTTTGCCCAGTATTGATAGACAAAGAACATAAAAACAGAGAACCAGGTCCCTTTAATGGAAGACGCTCACAATACCTAACCCACATAGATCCTCAGTATCCTCTGCTTACACTGCAGTGGGCTGGAAATAAAAGATTTAGGCCTAGAGCTTCACTAGGTAGAAACATACTATAAAAATTATGTCCATGGACATAGTGTCCTAATTATCTTTGTGAACGTAGGCCTCAAAGATCAAAAGCAGGTGCTGAAATCTGAAGGACTATGTCAGTAGAGAGAGTCTTGAATCAGGAAGGAACTGACTGCATATCTGACATAACATCCTGCCCTTAAAATTGATACAAGTTTCCATATTTGTAATGTTTTGGATAAAAGTGTTCTGGACATAAGACTTGTCACCAGATAAGCTATACCTCTTCCTTTTGTAGATGCTTTCCAGGACACTCGTCAGACAACAAGCTTTTGCTGCTACCCCCCAAGCCTCTGGGCGTAACTACCTGATTCCACCATTTCTCACAAAGATCCCTAGGCTGCAGCCTACTTAGCTGCCATGCCTTTGTGACCAGCTCAGCAAGTCTGAATCTGAAAAAACTTTCTTACTGAGATCTTGCCATAGCATGAATTAAAAGGATATCCAAACATATATCATAGTCTGAAAAATCAATTAGAAATTTAAAATCAATTAGCCCAACTTGCAAACTCCCAGGCTACGAAAGACAGGCAGACTTATTTCACCAGTTTTTCCTGAGCAATGTGACAAACAAGCTGAAATAGTTTAAAAGGTGACTGCTCTCCAGCTGTACTAACCCACTCATCTGACACTACTGGTTCCACAGGAACACGTGCTGGTTGTTCAGATGGAACAGATTCATATCAACAAACCTCCACCAGAACCTGTGTTCAGTTCATTTCTGCTTGCTAACACCAGGTTCCTGCAAAGAAGGGTCTCTTAATGGCTTATTCTGACACTAGGTGTCAGAGTAAAGAGAAACTTGATAGTTTGGGTTAACACAATTAGCAACCTTTTAATATTTATTTATTTATAACCTTTAACACTTTGGTATTCTCTTTGGGAGCCTTTTTTTTCAGTCTCAATTTCATTTTATGTTTTTCTAGCTCTTAAGAGCTTCCCTTGATTTAAATAATATCAAGCAGATAAACATAGGTTACTGTTCACAGCAGTAAAAAAGAGATTTAGCCAGTAATACGCAATTCTAATTCTTCTAAATTTAATAGCACAGAGTGCAAAACATGCACTTTGGAGCAATGAAATAAATTCATGCTTACACAATGATGGCTGAAGAATATATTTGTCAGCATTTACTACTTCCATTACCAATTTCTATTTTTCTTTCTCAGTACCTGTCCTTTAGTGAATTGAACATTTTCTCTGAAAAACAAATTATCATCTATGTAGCAATTTTACTACCTACTGATAGGAAAAGACATACCTGAACTCCTCCAAATCCATTAGGAGATAAATAGCGTTCACACTCAAGAGCAATATCCACCCAGCGCCATTCAAAGAGATGTACAATAGATGTCCTCCCGGAGAGAGTATTGGGGTTGTACTGTGCCCAGCAAAACCCTACAACTAACAAAAGAAAATAGATACCCATCCTGGGCTCTGTGATGAGTTGCGTTCTTCTTACTGCCTATTTATGTTCCTGCAAGAGGGTAAAGTACATGTTACAAAACACACATTTAAAAGTAAATGCCCATCTCTTGGCATCATATTTATTTAACTTTAGTTGATTTTCATTTTGTTTGAGAATTGAAATCTATCTAAGTTATATCAACCTCCCATACTAACAGTAACTTTGTTTTTCTGAAGTTGTGGAATACAGGCCTTCAGGTTTGCTACATGAAAGAAACCTGTACCCTTTCCTGATGTAATACATTTGGGAGTGCAGTGCTGAAACTCCAACCTCCTATGATACAGATACCCAAACAACAGTTTATATAAAAGCTTACATGATTTCTACAAAACGACCCTCATTTTTATTTCGAGGAAAGGATTCAAATTCAAGCACAAAAAATGCCAGTTTATAAAGTGTAGAACCTGCTTTCCAGAGCCTGTTGCTATTAGCTGTCACTGTACTTCAAGGGCTGCCAGGGTTACTTAGAATGAGTCACTTGGTAAATTTAGCTTGTTTTTCTGCTTGGGAACAAAATAATTTCAAAGAAATTATTTATTTATATATCTTTTGATAAGAGTATACAGATGAATTTCAGCCATAAGCTGTTGTTCTATGTGCTTCCATTTTCATGAAAGAACATGTCTTTGCCCTGATGGGAAGAATATACATTAAAAGAAAACAAGCTAAGAAAGTTCAATCATCTCTGATGAGAGAAGCCATTTATCAGCTTGGCAATTTTTACTTACAGCAGTAAGTACACAAAGCAGTAAATTCCACAAAGCAGTGAGAATAATATGCTTTGACCCAACCAGCTCCAAGGCCTAGTGCCCAAAGAGAAGATTCAAAGTAGTTTTTAATTTCTTTGGAGTAGGTTTATGGCTGCTCTGGCTTCAGTACCAGCAATGGTGAGAATGGAGATGCTGAAACCCCAAATGCACTGAAAGCTCTAGCTTCAAAATGTTTTTGAAACTTGGAAAAAAAGTAAGAGGTTTGTGTTCCTCTATGGAAGAAAAGAGAGCATAACTGATTGCAACTCAAAGAATAACGGGAGAGAATTGTTTCTGAAGAACACTACTGCTGTCTTGGACAACGTGAGAACTCAGGCGGGGTTACAGGCTGTGGTATGAAACTCCTCTGCTACCTCCAGCATACCAGCAACAGTATTTACACGTGCGAGAGGACTGAGGCAGGCCTGCTGCAGCTTCACATGTCAGAGGCTGTGACAGGAAACTAGATTCCACGTGAACTTCTAGTCACTCCCCGCAGCACTTCCCACCGCAGCTGCAGTTCCATACAGACGAAGCATCCCCGCTCGCAGACGCCGCGCTGCCCCTCCCACAGCCCTGCTCAGGAGCCGCTCTACCGACCGCAGGTCCAGCCGGGCCTCTGCCGCACGTACAGCCGGCAAACGCGGTGGCAGCAACCAGCAGAACTCGGTACGTACGGCCTGGGCTCAGCACCGGGCACGTCCAGAGGACACCACGACCGCCATCCCGGCCGCCGGGCCAGCGCCCGCGGGAGCCCAGCCCCTTCCGCCGGGGCGGGGCGGAGCAGGAGGCCCCGGTGTGTCATACGGCAAAATACACGGGTTTAACGAAATGCTTTGTATGACAGGTGATTATGTCGATTCAATATAAAATTAAATTCTGGAATATAGTTGTTCTCGGGAGTTGAAGGGAAAGCTCTCTGTATATACACGTGTCTCTTTTAAGTATTTGGTCTGTGGGAATAGCACCACCTTGCTGTTACCCCACTGCCCTGCTTTGAAAATTTACTTAGTTGGCCTTTATACAAGTGTATTAGCTTGGTCCTGTACTTGTAACTAAACGTGGGTGTTACAACATACTGCCCGTTTCCCCTGTTTTATACCGGGGGAGGGACTTTTTACAAAGGCAGGTAGTGGTAGAACAAGGGGAAATGGCTTTAAACTGGGAGAGGGCAGGTTTAGATTAGATATCAGCAAGAAATTATTTCCTGTAAGGGTGGTCAGACACTGGCACAGGTTGCCCAGAGAAGCTGTGGATGCCCCCTCCCTGGAAGTGCTTAAGGCCAGGCTGGATGAGGCTTTGAGCAACCTGGTCTGGTGGAAGGTGTCCCTGCTGATGGCAGGGGGGTTAGAATTAAATGATCTTTAGGGTCCCTTGCAACCCAAACCATTCTATGATTCTTTTTATGTGCAATAACTTGAGCCACAAGCTTCATAAAGTGGCGGAAGACTAAATACGGGGTAGCACAAGAAAGGTTTCCACATCTTTGACAGCTACAGGGGATTAACTAGTATTTTCTACTTTAATGTTGCTACAGTGGCTTTGCTATACAAAGTAACAAATGGAGTTTGTTATTATCAGAATAATACTTATTTTCTCTGGAAACAGTCAAAACCACAACTAGAGTAAATATTTGTCTGTATATAACATAAAAGGAGCTCATGCCAGAAACTGCTTGCTAGGCTGGAGTGAAAGACCAAAGCTGGAGTTGCAGGACAAGGGTTGGTCCCACACTAGGAACAGTAGCAACATTAGCTGCTTAAGGAAGCCAAAGTATTTACAATGGCAAATGCGTTTTCCTCAGTCTTGGATCAAGTAGGTATATACATTTAAGCAATAAACTGGAAGCAATTGGAAATGCCCTAGCAAATAATAAAGGAAAAGTGATTCTCAGTTTGATATCAGGTCCCCTTTTAGCTGCCAACGTCCAAAGATATAAAGGGATAACAAAGATGCAAACTGTGTAACATGTGAAACCTCTTAGTGAAGATTTCCAACTTACTTAGTTCTTTTCTCTACCATATAGTGATTTCCCTGAAATTCAAAGTGTTTGAGGAAAGCATACTCAAATGACTGGAACTGAAGATGAACCTTGTATATCAAACTCACACTGAGGACACTGGAGAAATGTGCATGCTTTTTTAAAATTCATCTCTTCAGAACTAAAAGCATATTGGAATGACCTTCTGAATCTGGCTTTCAAAGAAAATTCTGACAAGGCACACAACTCGTGTATATAGAAAGCAAGTCTAATTTAGCTTCTGCTATCACAAGATCTTTGCTATATCGAATCAATTTTTACAACAGCACTGTAGTAAAATTAATGTTAGATTGAGTTAGCCTCACCTTGAAAATTACAATGATATGAGTATATTCAAAAGCTTAATTAAATAAGAAATGTTGCTGTGTCTATATGTTATTAGCTAATGAAGAAAAATTGTGAAATAAGCCTGCATTCACTGCTTATGTGTGATCTCAGAAGCCAGACCTATTGACTTGTTAAAAAAAACAGGTTATTTGACCTGAAATATCCAATCAAACAGATCAAACATTCCCAGGGAAAGAAAAACAAAACCAAAACAAAAACCTACCAGCAGAAATGGGTATACAAAAACCCAGCTGATTTAAGGGAATGGAAGCTCTGCCTATTGACTTTTTAAAAAAGTTCTCTCAATTGGACTGCAGAAGTTTCCTCGATAGATTATCAGTATAGGACAGCGGGGAGTATGTTTTATTTGTTCTTTAATATAACCCTACCAAGAACACAGCATGGCCACAGAAAACTCAGATTTTTTTTTTTTTTTTTTTTTTTTTTAAGTCCCTTTTTCTACAAGGATAAGGATCATAAACCCTTCACAAGTTCTCATAAAACTTCTCTATTTTTCCTGGCCTACTACTCCTAATACAGATAAGATAAACTAACAAATAAGGTAAGAAGAATACCAGTAAAAGCATTTTAAAGTAATCTGCTAAACCAGTTCATATCAAAAAAAGCGCAAAGATGCACTGACTTTGGTCCAGCAATCAATACTAGTGATTTACGCTGTGTGCAGCTCGAATGATGACAAAACAATTCTTTATGCCAGCCTGTTACCATACTATCAACTGTGAATTAATATTTTATGGAATTATTTTCTCCTTAAATCCACTGGACTCTCTTGCCAAGTAAATGCCATTGCATTATCTCCCCTGTGGTTTTAGAAAGTTATGATAATCTTTTCCTAGTATGTAGCAAATCTTATGGTGTAACCACCATGGCACTGATTTTTATTAAACACAGTTCAACAGGGCAGAGACCACATCTACACTGGTTTAACTGCTACTCTTGTTTTAATGACTTCAGTCTCACTAGTGATATTTTTCAAGATGTGGATAAACAATGCAGAATAATTACCGAGGAAAAAAACAGTGCCTAATTTCACAGCACAAATTCATGCCTATGCACTAGTTCTCCTGCTTAGTCTCCAAGACAAGAAAAAGATTTACACCAAAATGAGATTATCCTTAGATTTTCTTATCTTTTTACCCCGAAACACTAACAGTTAAACATCTCACTCAGAGATGCATAAGACTATATAGTCTGAAACATCTAGAACATGCTGCAGTTACAACTGAACAGTTAACTTCTTTTTTTTAAGAAGTGTCATCTTCCTCCTTCCCACTCCCAAACACCACAACAAAACAGAAGTCAAAACGAAGAGAAAGGAAATAATTTATTAGAGATTTCACAAGCAAGCTAACATACATTTACCATACAAGTCTTCTGACAGTTTAAAGGTATGTGGAATCTTTAAGATGAGAAAACTTATATTCTGCCTTAAATACTTTAGAAATGCTATTACGCACAGTTCAAGAGTCCTGATGGTTACACTGCTTCTTCCCTCAGCTTGATAATACTTGAAAGAGATGGAGCACAAAGGGACCTGGAACATCACAAAGGCATGTTAAAAGTAAGAACAACCAGAAAATAGCAGTACTATGCTTTCTTTTGACACCTACATTGAAAAATCCTTAGTATTTAGAAAAGTGCTGAATGTCTGAAAAATCTGACTTAATAGATACTGTAATAGCAAATTAATACAGCCTGTAAGTTAAACAATAATGTAATATGGAACCCATAAGAAAATTATAAGTCACTGGCAACAACAATACCACAGTGCAGAAAAAAGTCTAAAAAAACCCAAACCAAACAATAAAAAGGTAGCAGTTATGAATAGTTCAATTCCAAATACTTCATCGCAAGGTGTTGTTCATTTTCTTCTCTACTCAAAAAAGAAAAAGTAAGGAATGTACAAACTAAGTCAACTACTGATTGTTTCTCATATACCAGGACAACAGTAATCATCAAATGCTCTAAAATACTGGTCAACCCTTTAACATTATTAAGAACAGCTCTGCAACATATTTTAACCAATGTTGTTATATTAAATGAAAAACAAGACAAAGCCCTCAGCATGAGCTCAGCATAGCTCCACACGTGTCAGTGGAACACTTCTAGCTCATACAAGCTAAGGAAATGGACCACAAATCAGCAAGTTATATTATGACCTTTGAGGAAGAAGGTGGGAGGCCACCTTTAGAGTAGGAACCTTCATTGTGTCTATTCACGCAACACAGACAACTCATTGATTTCCCGCCTCCCCACCCTTGAAAAAGTGCCTTTTGCTTTTAAAATTACCAGATCAGTTCAAGCTCTAAAACATGTAAACTCCTCCCCACACCTACTCTATACAAAAATTTAGATGTATTTGAGTGCTACAGGAAACATTGCACAAAAAAAGGATACAACAAGAAAGGATACACTCTGCATGACAGTATTACTGCAGTATTTACGCAGGAATGTTTCTAAAGAAGAACAGCAGAATGTGGTTTAATTTTACTCAATTCTTAGTATTATATACACATAACTTTATGCTACCTATCAAAAGAAAATACACCTCTTTGATAAATACAGTTTTGACCCCTTATGAGACTTAATGAGGGCTAATGAGTCCACCAACACTAAACTCCATAGTCAAAAGTAAATACATTTTTTGGTAACTTGAACTACTAGGACAACACCAGATTTTTCTGTCTCATTAATCCTCCTTCAAGTCTTTGCCATTTTACAGACTCACTTTTTTCATCAGGTCCAAAACCCAACCATGTTTCCATTCAATACAGGATTTAAAGTCACTTCTTCCCTATGAAGAAGCTGCAGACCTCTCAACATCAGTTTCTTCTACATAATCTTTCTCCCAAAAAGCTGTATTTTAGCTACAGTCACCCCAAATACTAACTGAAATTTTTGCCAGTCCATCAAGAAGACATTTCAGCCAGCAAGTAGTTTTTATAAGCCATAAGTATTTTTTTTTTCTACAAGGATAAAGCCCTTGTAGAGAAAATACTAAAAAATAATGAAAATATTTGCAATACCATTCATAAATTTAACACAGCTTCTTCCTGTTTAAAAATAATCAGAAGTTTAACTTATGTTAATGTAGTTGAGACGCAGGATACTGATCAAATCCGAAGTCCCTCAAGTGTTTGCACAGACTTGTTTATATGCATTATTTATGTTTCAAATGAGATTCTGACACTTTTCTTCCTTACAGACTCAGATTTCCATCATGGAATTTTGCATCATAAATCAGCATCCAGCTGACATTCCAGCAGGAAAAAAGAAAATATAGTCATGCAGACACGGGGTTCAGTTTCATTATTAGTTGGGAAGTGAAATAAATATTTTTTAATTAAACCTCATGGATCCCTAGAAATGTGTATTAGTCTATGGCACATTCTGTGATCTTTACATACAAATGGTCAAGGTAAGGAAGAATGACACCAAAGTAACTCATGTAGGCTTTCAGGCATACAAATAAGTCGTGCAAAAGTATGTGTTTGCTCACTCTAAAAAAAGCTTCCGAGTTGACCGTCAACATTTTTAATAACCAAATAAGCACCTTGTTATTTTCTTTATGCAATTCAACTATTATTTAGCATGTTAGTGAAGTCTGAATTAGATTTACTGTACAAAATTAGTCGGAAAGATACAGAATTCCTAAAAGGATAAAAGTGTTCAGACTTCATTTATAAGGCTTTCCAGTAGCTAAAATATTTCAAGTTTCTTTTCTGCATTTAAAGAAACCTTGGTAGTTTTCTTCTTATTAGACATTGGAAAAAGTCTATACAAGGTTTCTTTCTAACAAGGAGTAAGAAAGAAGACTGAAACATTTTCATAAACCCTTGTTCCTAACAGAATACTTTATCCAAGACTCATTTGTCTCTTTTCAATGACCAATACAGAGGAATCCCTGAAAAAAAAGTGACTTTTAATCTGATAAAATAAAATACAGATTTTGCAAACCACAAATCAGTAAGTCAAAACAGGAACTGGTAAGACCAAAGAGCATGTCAGAAATGAGGGAAACAAGCTCAAATATAATCCAGTGAAAAAAATCACTAGAGAACTGACAGAACAAGAAACCTACCATTAAAGTAACTGTATATTATAAATAGAAATACTCCCCTCACAATGACCATACTGCAGGGTCTCCAATCAATTTTTAAAAATCAAAACCAGCTGTTCACTTCCTTTATTTCAAACTTCAGGGTTTTTTCCAAAGTAACAATGATCAAAACATCCACATTAAAAACACATCATGGAGTAAGCAGAATGCTTCAAAAGCATTCAGCCTAAGCTTTGGGTAGATGCATACACTTAAGAATAAGCAGCAGTGAAGTAAAGCTATACGATAGGAAATAAAGTTAAATAGTGATTTTTTTCTGCTAAAAGTTACTTTCCCATCAAGTTTAGACAATAATGTCAAAAATCAGGACCTATGAATTGCACAACAAAGGGAGCCTTGATCAATGCAACATTAAGTAGCACTTTCTGATACAATATCCTTTCTTAAATCAGGCAAGTTTAAAGGATGCTGCAACAGAACTTAGATCTCATTTTCCCAAGTTAGCAAAGCCAAAGGTCTTTTACAGAGGTAGCAGAAGTGAGTTTATCGCTGGAAACAATTTTTCAGGATCATTTTACAATGGCGGGGACAGGAGGGAAGGAGAGAAGAGGCAACTCTTTTCAAAGCAAACAATCCCAGAAGATTACTACAAGGTAAGTGGTCAGATTCCACAGAGTTATTCTCCCCAGACTAAGAATTAGAGAAACTGACAACTACCCTAGGATATCAGGGTTAGGGAAATGGCAGTCTCCAAGTTTCTAAACAGAGGATGAAGCAACATTTTAAACTTATATCAACTTATATACCTTGCATTCTGCTTTTCTGATTTAAGAGCACATTTAAGAAAAGAAAATTGTATGGAACTCTTCCCCTCCACCATCACCATGTCTAAAGCAGTCATTTAAAAGATAATAAATAAAAACAAGAAAAAAAAAACACCAACAAAACAAATGAACAAAAAACCCCAGCCTATTTCTTTATTTTTATTTTCAGGTAGAGAATCCATACCTTGTGCAGCATTTTACTTTTTTCTTTTCCCTTCATTGGCATCCTGTTTTGGTCTAGCTGAACGAGCAAATTGCTGAAATTCTGTTAAGGACTACAAGTGTCAATGATAAGCAGAAGATAATCAATCAAGAAGCAAAAAAATTATTATTTCAGCAAAAGATTCTACTACAGTAGTGTCTATTAGTCAAAGATTAGAACATTGCTGATCGGCAGTACAAAAAATTTTAAGAGAGCCTGTTGAAGAGTTTACAATACTAAGTAAATAAAGGAGGACTAACTGAGAATGGTTTAGGTGCAAACAGAATAACTACATGAGGATAAATGCTTGACAATCCTCCATCCCAGCACGGTAACACCGTAACTTTGATGCCTCAGTAGGTATTTAGGAGGAAAAAAGATAAAAGGAACAGACATTGGTGTGAATAAGTGTACAAAGAAAAGGAAATGAACTATGAAACATGTAAGTGAAAAACAGGAAAGGATAGGAAGAGATTCAAAACTTAGACAAAAAACAGGGCAATGCAATTGAAAAGTGGAGAAATCCCAATGTGTTACACAGGCCCAAAAAGTAACTGACAGTTCCAGCTGGAGAAGTAGTCTAAATAGAGACCACTGACCCTGACAGGAATATTTCTTTATGTTCTTAATTCTGCAAACACAGGTTTAACCAAGTCAAAAAGCCTATTTAATTTAAATACAATGGTCATACAAGCTAAATTATCTTTGGTATTGTGTTTGCAGGATAAAAGAGTTAAGACCAGAGAAGTCAATTTTATTGTCTTAAATAAAGCACATTTACTTTACTATTTCAGAAGAGGTGTCTCTAGATATTTTTCAGTTATCATAAAATTAACACTAGTACACTACACTACATAGAAAACTATGGTTTTCTTGAGGTATTTCCTCTTACCAGATTTCTATTAAGTAGAACACTACAACAGCAAAACTAGAGATTGACAGACAGATTACAAAGAATATAATGTAAATATTTGAAGAAAAAGATACAACCACCATGGGTTTTTCAAATAAAACATATCCATTTGCTTCTTTTAAAGCTTTAGCAGCTGCTTTTTCATTAGGAAGCCCAATGAAAGCCTGTCCCTTCATACGGCCTTCTTTCATCAAACGTATATCAAACCTAGAGGCAAAATTGAGAATTGGGAATTACTCATGTTTAAACACACTTTCATATTTCATGGTACAAATATAGTTCTCATGCTTCAAGTTGGAGAAATAGGAGAAATGGGAACAGAGCCTACAAACAGGAATTATGTCATTGGAGACCATTTTGCCTGGGGGAACCATTTAGTAAAAAGTGACATTAAACTGCAGGATGGTAAACTGGTATGCAACTATACTAAATATGACTAATGCAAATTATCAGATACACACAATCATCTACACTTCATTCTGTGCTGTTCAGCCAATAAACAGTAAATCTGGTAATGAAAATAAGGGCAAAATAGTAGGGTCTTCAGACACTGTTCAAAAAAATCTATTTCTGTAGTTGTGGTAAATCAGGATTTTCAGGTGAAACATTTTTTCTTTATGCAGATTCATAAAGAAAAAAGTAAAGATTACTAGTTTTTAAATCACAATTTTCACCAGTATCATAGAAGTTAACGTAAACGGCTTAATTTTAATCAACTATCAAGTTAACTTACATATTGCGTTCCACTTCTGACTGGAAGTCAACATATCTTCCAAAGATGAACTTGAGATCCTGCAATTAAAGGGCAGGTATAAGAGGAAAGCTGATAAAAACCCCTTTTGATAACTATTTGTTTGTTTACCTACCTTTTCTTGAACTTGTTTAGCTAAATTCTTCACATATATCCTGCAATTTGGATCACCTGGCTCATAGTTTTTGAAAACAGAAAATTTTTCCATTTCTTGAAGAAGACAGAAAAACAAGACAATGTTTTAGTTTTACAAAATTTAAATTACATTTAATTACTTTGTATTCTTGCTCAGTATAAAATAACTAATTTAATATATCATCAACTAATAAAGCAAAGACTTATTTAAACTATGTGTTGCAACAAATAAAGAGCTATTATTAGATAATTTATTCTCACAGGTATACCTTCTCTAGAAAGTCTGTTTTTTTCTAGATCCCTTCGAGAAATAAATTCTGATGGTATTTCATCCTCCTCCTCTTCAGTTTCCATTTTATCATTTGAGCTAGGAGCTGGGAAAATCCTTCCAAAGCCTGTATTATTGATTTCTTCTGTGGTTGCATAAAGGTCTGAAATTTCAACACATTATATAAATGGTTTATGTTTATTCACAAGAGGATCAACAACAAGCAAAAAAGTATACTACTTCAAGTAACATTTTAACATAGTAGACTTTGCAAAGCAATTTCAACACACCCTTAAAAAAATGTGTCTTAACCCTGGTTTGACAAAAACACCTACTCTATATGGTCACATATATCTAAGCACACAGTTCTGTGCTTTAACAGGGGAAAAACAAAATGCAGACAAGATGCAAGTTGGTGTTCTTAAACACCAATACAGAAGAATAAAAGAATTCCCTGGCCTAAATTTTAGCAGCCTTCTACACACTGAAACCACATGAATTTAATATTAAGTACAGTTGAAGTACAAACTCTCACCATTTTTTTCTTCTTTTTCTGAGTTTATCTGCAGAACAGCTGGGATGTCAGTAGTAATATGGAACTCAATCTTTTTATGACCTACATGGTGTGGCTGCTCAAAGACATCCGAAGGTGACAGTGTAGGGTGCGAATTACTGTTTAAAACAACATGTTAGTTAAAAAGTCAGACACTGATGAATGCATTGTCAAATACAAGCTTTCTTCAAGATAGATTTTAATGCTGTTGTTTACCACAAATACACGAGTTCTCCATTTCATAAATTTTACCCAATATAGTTCAAGTTGACTAAAACACTGCATGTACAGTAGGTATGCTGGTAGTGAGAGCAAAAAAAAGAATTACATACCACATTACAGTATAGACAGGCACTTATGAAAAAACTTTATCAGTAAATTAAATATGAACAATAACTGGCCTTGCTGCTGCTCTCGCATAGTGTGTAAAATCCACCAAATTTTTTAAAAATACCAAATCAGTTGGAGGAAGAAGGCAGCTACTAGTAAAAATGCATTCACAATTGATCATTACTACATAGATATATTACACTGGTGTCTCCTGTGCCACAGTACTGCAGTTTCAAAAACCAAAATTATTTAAAACCAGATCAGTTTTTATTCTTCCAGTATCTTTTTTTTTTAATTTTAAACTTTTTTTTTAAGAAGTACCCCAAACAATAAACACAGAACGCTTCTGTCAAGGCTGTGATATTGTTTTCCTTTTTTATGAAAAAGGGATTTTTACTAGTTTGAGAGCAAGAGAATACAGAGCTGGAACCAGTCACACTTTATAGATGAAGGTTGTTGAGCAGACTTCAGTTCAAATTACAGGAAAATATGTATCTTTAGAGCAATAAAACCAAGTATGAGGATAAGGGAAGACCAACTCCACTACCAAATCTACATATCAGTGAAGAATGCTTGTTTTAAAACAGCAAACTAAAGCAAACATAATACAGAGAACGTAACTTAGTAAAAGGAATAAACTTCTGTAAAAGTGCAAAAACCATAGAAGTAATACAAACCTGTGGGGAGTACACACGGGAACATTCAATAAATCTTTAATTCTTTGTTTTTTCCTAACACCACGTCTCTTTGTGTTTATTGGTCTTTTAGGCTGAAGAGTTGCTAATTCCATCAACTTGGTCATTCTATTTAGAACAAAATTTTAAAAAGAACCAAAGTGTTTTACAGTTTATTTGAAAATACTCGTTTTGAAAACCCTTCCCCCTTCCTTGAAACTCTTGAAATTCAACTTTTCAGAATATGGTTATAAATCTAGCCCCCTTAAGACCAAAATTACAATAATAAACTACAACACATAACAAATCCATATACACCGAGCACTTAAGTTACTGATCAAAACTGTAATGAGTTCAGTGATGCCCTTCATTCCCCAAGCATGCAACTAATTAAGATACTGAAGCTGTAGAAATGCTAAGAAGCCCCAAGCTGAACCTTTTTTATAATACTTCTTCCACTCAGGAGTACCTTTTTCCAAATGTGTGTATTTTCCTGAATGCAGCATAGGGACTTTGATTTACTTTTCAGTTTGAACAGCAAATAAAGAAAATTGCTTCTTCATTTAGTATTAGTTTAAAGATTAAAAAAAACCCAGCTATGATGCAATTCAATCACAAAACTGCAAGAGAACCCTCAGCCCACACAACCTCCCATTATTATTAGTCCTAGCAATGCACACTGATGTACGAAGAACATTTTGGAAGTCAGAGTGCACATACGATTCAGGCTGAGTAGTTTACTCAGTAAAGATGGGGGGAAATGAAGAATTCAGAAAACAAACTAATTATTGATTCTGTACATCTGCACTGTTCATTCTGAGTTTTTGTTTTGTTAAGTTTTGGGGGTTTTTTTGGACATGGGAACAAAACATAATTTGCATACCATTTGGCCATTTTCTTTCTCTTACTCTGACTCAAAACAGCACTGTCCTTCTGTTTTTAAGTCACTCTGGGGCTTCCTTAAGCATCTGGAAAGATTATCTATACACTGCAAATATTAACAGATTCCACCATTTTCTGAACTAGAAGCTAGAAAAGTAAAAACAACATTTTAAAAGAGCCCAAAAGCTTGCAAATGACTGTAAAATGCATACCTCTCCTTTTCCTCCTCATTATCACTTTCATATTCTGATTCATCTCCACTAGATAGTTGCTCTTCTTCCTCTTCAGGCAAAGGAGGCTCTTCAGGAGGCAGAGGTGGGATTGGCGGAGGTGGCACAGGTGCTGGTAAATACTCTTCATACTGATTATGGAGAAAAAGTTAAAAAAAAAAGAGTAAGTAAATGTTTGAAGAAAAAAATGCATATCTTGTTTTCCTTTATGTAATAAAAACGATCAAAGCAATAAATTAGAAGATGGCAAGAAACATTTTTTAAAGTATATTTATAGGGATCCATATGCTATTTTGCTAAATAACAAATTTAGCAACATTAATTAATGAAAACTTTCCACAAGGAAAAAAAATTTGCTACTTTCTGAAGCATAACAGTGAATGTTTTCACTCTTTTTATTCTGAGGAGTAAAAAGAAAAAATAATAGCAACCATGGCCCTGCTTTTTATTTTGCACTCAGCTTTCACTGAGAGGAAAGTGGTCAAAACATAGAGGAGGAGGCCTTAGTTCCCAAGCCATCTCAGTTTCTACACTGAACCTTCCACCACCTATCAAAGTTACATTTCTATTTCTCTAAGGAGTGAGGATTTAATGAATGGAATAATTATTTTCATTGAGATTGCAAAAACCACATACAAGGAATTCCCTACGTATAAAATGATCTCCAGCCCCGCTTTCGACAATCTTACTGCACTCAGCAGCTACTTTCATACACCATCAGTTCCATAAGGCACTAATGTCTTCTGGCATTAGAAATACTCTGTGCCCTTTAGAAACTTCTCTAGAAGTTTTGAGGACCGGCTTCTTACCTTACTACTCCTTTTTGCATGAACATTAAATTCACAGTGCTCAGCCTGGCCCAATACCAGGCAACGAATAAAATTATTCCCAGAAAATCCATGAGAATTCGTTTTTTTGATAGATTTATTTCATAGTTTTCTTTACCAGCTAGCTCCTCTGTTAGTAGAAGCAGGTGTTCTGTTAGGGCAAACACAAAGTGTAGTGGAGCACAACTTCACTATATCCAAATACTGTACCCATCACTATTAATGCAAGTCCTCACTTCCTCTATCTTCCACAGGCAGTCAGTTCAACTACCCTACCACAGCTACAGAGAACTGAGATCACAAAGCTGGTATTTCTACTTATCTTCAGAAACAGCTCCCCCTAAGCCTCTCTGTTTCCCTCAACCTCATCTCTTTCAAAACACATCCTGGAGACAGAGCAAGTTAAATCCAAAAGTGCTATATAATCTCATTAACAACCTGAATCTAATCAGAACTCCAAAAAACACATGGATCAAAGTCCATTTTGTAAGGCAAAAGGCTAATGGTTTTCTTTATTTCCTGGAACATAATGCTATAATCTCCCTTTTTTTTAAATACTCAACAGTCTGAACTATTCCAGTGCTACAGTCATACATGTATATTTCTTTGTTTGAAGTATAGATAAAAAATATTTCTTTAGAAGACTCAACATGCATATCTCGTCCAATGAAATGCAGCAGTATTTGATAACTTCTAGAGATTTCTCCAACTTTTATAAGTTTGAACTTAGATTTCCTACCATATTGCTAAAATTTAGAATTGTGAATCCATTTTACAGTACTTAAAATATATATTTAAAAGTTACCATGGGAGGGCGAGCAGTAATTGGTCCAAAAGGTGGAGGAAGGTTCATTTTATTCATCAGATGAAGTACCTGAAATGATTCAAAATAAGTAATAATTCCTTTAAATAAATAAATAAAGTAGTTCCTTGCTAGGTATCACAGCAATTAACTTCTGGCAGGTGTAAATCAGCATAGTTTTAATGAAGATACAACTACATTGGTTATTAAACAATGTGAAAGTTTGTACTTGAAATAGTAAATATGAGCAACGCCCTAAAAAGACTAATAAAAAAGAGTAAAGCACCTTCTCAGAGTGAATTCCAAGCACTGAAGTCACATCTGATTAGGAAGATCATATCCAGTTAAGCCTTCAGTGTCAATGAAGTAACAGTTACTTCTGGTCAATGAAATCTTACTATCTCAACATAATAAAAAATTAACATTGGTTAACAATATCACAGGAAAACTAACTCAATATTCACAATGACAAAAATTATCTCTGTGGATAATGAAAAGAGGAAAAAGGAGATGTTTTCATTTTTACGCTTTCTTTTTTTGCCATTTTTCACTTACCTGGACATAAAATTTGGGCACGCTTGCCAAGGCATTTGCTATATTTGCTAGAATTGTACTTGAAGGTGGTGGATACAAATACTTGAGGCAAGAATTGATGGGAAAGGTGAGGCTGAAGAAAAAAAAAGATTAAAAACAAGGAATCTTAGCACCATCATCACATAATGACTGATAACAATGATTATCAGAAGTCTCACTGAAATATTATTATTTTCCCTAGAAAGTTTTGGGCCACTTACATTATGTTTTTAACATCTGTGAGCAGCCCCCCAGTGAATGACAGACCTACTGGGCTTTGGTACAATAAAAGTACCAACACACGCAGAAACAATCAACATGTCCAAAACCAAAAGCACAGCACAGTTTGCTGTACAAACATCATAACCTCAGTGCTCGAAGTGTCGGATTTATTAGCCCAAAAAGCAATTTATGCTTCATGAATGCAAAAATGCAAATGGCAGAAAAAAGAACAAGAAACCTCTGGAAAAACAGAAGTCAACAGCACTCGGCTGTTAACACTGGGACAACCTACCCAGTCCTCAAACTCTTCCTGAGAAAGCAATGCATCATGCTAGAAGGCTGTTATGCAATCCACAACTTCATAGCTCAAAGCACCAGTTGCTACTCAGCTGTGAGGGTTCTAAACTTGAAGAACTAAATATTTCATTTCAACAACAACTCTGACAGCCATGCATGTAGAACAGCAGCATACTATAATACAAAATGAGAGAATGCAGCATACTGTGTTCTCTCTTGTTCCAACAGCACATAACTCATTTCAAAATAAACTGTAACAGAATAAAATAATTAAGACAAAAAAAGCCCACTAACCCATGGTTGGGTGCAACTCCATTCTCTATTTTAACACAGTTTGGCTCTTTCTTCTCTTCTTTCACTGGCTCTTCTAAACTGAAAAGAAATCTAGCATTAACTAAAACAGGGCAAAATTTAAGTGCCTTACATAATGTATGAAATGTTTAATCTCATATATTAAAAAATATAAGAAATAGATCAGTACAGTATTTTTAACATCTTTTATCAATGGCATTACTACAGCCATCATCTACATCAATCTTAAGAACTAATACATGTGGACACTTACAGTAGCCAGACTTCTAAGGACAACATAAATAAATATTTATACAGATTTAACTAAGTCTCACTATATTTTAACACTTCTGACAGTCTACTCACAGGAAAAGAACTAAAATTATTTAAAGTTGCTCTCTGTTCAGAGACTATTACTCTCTGTTCAGACACTGTATAAAATCAAAGGTATTAAATTACTGATTTGTTCATATTCAGAGAGTGCAATAAATAACTTAAAAGCTCTACAGTTGATTTTAATTAAGCACTATCACATAGCTTCTATCACTTAGTTACACAGTACACAGGTAAACCTGAAAGCCTAACTCTGCAACTTATTTTTTTAATTAAGTACTTGACAGATAATTGAAACCCAAACTATCACAATTCTTGGTCACACTAGCATTAGGACTTTTTTTTTTTTTTTACTTAAAAAAAAATTATACATTCTTCAACTACTTGTAGAGAGACTCGGACAGTTTTGTTTGTTCTGCTCATGCTTCAAGCTAGCTACACGCAAATCAGCTCCAGCCTAGAAGCCAGTGGCTGTAATAGTGCAGTCTTACACAGTTATGCTAGCAGCTGTCAATTCAGCCTGATTCTTGATTGGATTAGAAAGAAACATCAGGAAAGCACTGAATGCACTGTTCAACAGCTAAAGAAAACTACAGTTCTTTTTTATAAACACAGGGAACCTGTGCAACACAGAGGTCAGCTTACACAGACTGGAGTCTTGCTCTGTAAATGAGAACAAACAGGACCACCTGCTGATTAAAGATACTAATAAGTACAGGAATAAGGATGGGAATTATCACATTATGTATGATACTGAATGAAACAATACTAATGGGAGGCATGCGGTCACTTATCTATAGATCTGAACCTGCCCCTTAACACTTCTAAATGGTTACAATTTATCCTTTGACTTAATAGTACCACAAAAGTATCACAAATATGGATGTTCCTTTCCTTGACCACAAATATAAAAACTAAGTTATGCACATACCTTTTACAACTCTCTGAGACAGACGGCTGGCTAAGTACCTGCACACTATCTTGCTCCTTCGCAAATTCAACAACTAAGGTGTGACCTAAAAGTTTCAGCTGATGCAGTCTTGACAAAGCCTTCAAATAATTAGAGTGGAGAAAATAAAGAAAAGGAAGATGAAAAACATCAGAATTATTTAAAAGCATAACTGTTTTTAATTTGGCTGGCAAACTAGCCATAGGATGTAGTCCCAACTTAAGTCTGTGCCACTACACACACAGGTAGTTCTGCACCATTCCTTCCTTCACAGCCCTGCTTTTAGCAGCCTGTTTCCTGCTAGCAGAAAAGAAAAAGATGAGGTTGCACAACTAAAACCATTGAAGATACTCAGGTCAATTGAACACAGCAGCAAGACTGCAGCCTTAACAACAATACTTATTACACATCCTAGTAAATTTCTGTTTATTTCAAATAACCAATCTCTTGCTCAAGAACTACAAACATGCTGAGGTCCACTAGTAATAGCTGGGAATTTTAAAAACAAGATTTCTAACAGTGACATTAGGAAGCTCCAGCATTCTGCAAGTCCAGATCCTGACAGGCTGCTAACAACTGACACAAAGCCTAAGTTCACCACTGTTCACCTCACACAGTCTTTGTAGCTTTTTTGAGTGGTACAGCATGGCCTAAAAAAAATAAAATAAAAGCAACACTAAAAAACCCAGGGCATAACAAGGAAATTCAGGACACAGATTTATAGTTTAATTTTTACCTGATTCATAGTTAAAAAGCATTATCAGTACTACTTATTTCGCATCCACGTTCCTCATTAATGTAGCAGTTTTCTTTTTCTTATCAAAGTTGGGCATTCAGGGCAGTCTTGAATTGTGTACATCATTATGTCTGAATTTTATGGCAAACACGCAATTACGCAGGGCACAAGTAAATTATGTTTGGTTTATAGTTTATATATAAATGCACAGTTTATAGTTTTGCACACACATCCTAGACAAGGCCCTGATCAGTCTCAACTCATTAATTTTGCCATGCTGTAAGTGACAGGTTGGATCAGAAGACTTCCACAAGACTCTTCCAACTCTTTTATGACTCTACAGAAGTGTTTGTTTCATCAAATCCTTCAAGTACCTCCTGAAACAGAACTCTTAATATTACATTGCTCTGCATTTTTTTTTCTTGACACTGGTACTAGATCATGCGTAAAACATTTTAGAGTATAACTAGAAATTCAGAAAAATGCTTTGCTAAAACATTCAATAACAAACTCTATACAAACCTTCACAGCTGCATTTTCACTTGGAAAGGTAGCAAATGCAGTATGTTTCTAGAAAACAAAAAAAGAGTCATATTGACATACAATACTGTCATTTAAACAAAAAAAGGCAAAAAAATGCATGTAAAACATATAGTACACGAATAATTTGTAAATTCAAGCTTACATTTTTAAAAGTTTCCAGGCAGTAGCCATTTAACTCCTCTGCATGGCAAAGCTGAAGGACTAGGGAAATTTTTTCTTAAGAACTGAGGACAAGTACCTTCTGCATTCAAAACTAAGGTAGGAACTTGGCAGTTTGAGTTACAGGAAAACAATATTTTTCTTTTTCCTAGTGAGAAAAAGCCATTCTAAACTGCAAGTAAGTATGTATTGATAAAGAAGTTTAAACCTTCTTTCAAAAAAGGAAATTTTTTTCGGCACCTCTCAGTAAAACATTTTATCAAAGCAACTCCTAAAAGTGTCAGTTTACCTGCTACAAAAGTCATAATTATTTTTGTTCTCTCAAAGTTTGGCTGGTTTCTCACTAACATTTTCCCTTATTTGTTAAGTATAAAAAACCCCTAAGCTTTCCAAATTAGATCAAAACCTCACAAAATACACACTTAAACTTGTTTTAACATACTTTATTACTTCACCTTGCTACTACATGATTCAGTATTAAAAACCCAATGCTGTTATAATAATTATTATTCTACTAATTATATTAATACTCTTATAATAGTAGCTATGAAAAAAATCATCTTTGTGAAGTCAGTATTTTTAATATCCTATAAAAGAAAGCATGACCCTGACACAAGCTGCAGACATCATTTATCTGCAGTTCTGCAGGAATACAAGGCTCTTTGCAAACAACATTCATCACCAGACAGATAACACTATGTTTCTGTAATTCAGAGGAATAATAAAATAAACTAAAACATAAAATAAAGATCTCAAGAGACAGGCCTGTGAAACTGCATCCCTACACCACCAGCCACTTCTGCACTGCTTTTCCAGAGCCTTATTCCTACAACAAGCGAGGCCAAAGCTGCGGGCAAGGGCATAGGGCTGTCAAGGGCTTTTTTACACTTAAAAAGTCAGGGAAAATGTTAGTGAGCGGGGAGCCGGGATCCCCGTGTCAGCGGCTCTCCCGACCTCCCCGCCTCGGCCCAGCGCGGGCTGTCCTCCAGCGCCTCAGCCCGATCCGCC